GAACCCCGTGACATGCACCCTTTGACCTGTCCATTGAGAGAGTGTTTTAGTAATATTGATTACAAGCTGAAAGAGGTATTTATCTTTCTATACAAATCACTAGTTAGGCCTCATTTGGAATACTAAATACAGATTTGGTCTCCTTATCTAAAAAAGGATTTTGAATTGGTAGAAAGGGTTCAGAGGAGGGCTACTAAGATGATTCCAAGGATGGATGGGTTACCCTTTAAAAGAATAGATCAAGATCTTTGTTTATTTTCTCTTGAGAAAAAAAGTAATATGTGATCTCTTTGATGTTTAAAAGATTATCTAGGATATTGACAGGATAATGGCCTATAATGTCTTTGTGCTATGTTCTGAAGGTAATAGGATGAGACACAAGTTTACAATTTGGAAAAGACAGGCTAACTCCAGTTAATGTTTAAAATGAAAAAACTGAGGAGAAAAAACACACAAGATAGTTTACAATTTGAAAAAAAAATGGTAACATTAGAAAGACATAACAGTGCTTTAGATAAGGGGGATACCTGTGTAATTCCCGACCAAATATCAGGTGTTTATGGCCTTAAAAATATATTAAGAAGTTGTTTTACTACCAAGGAAAAACAAATACAGCTTGATTCATTGGTTAGGCCTTACTTGAAATACGGTATGTAGTGTTGGTCTCATTGTCTAAGAAAAGATACTGACTTACTGGAAAGGATTCAAAGGAGAGTTAATATGATGATTATGGAAATGAAATAGGGCCTTTTATGGGGACAGATTAAGGTCTCTTATTTTCTCGAGAAAAAAGGTAAGAAGTGATTTTATTGAAGCTTATAAGCCATCTGCCATTTATCGCCTAACTCAGCAAATAATCTAAATTCTTTTGTAAAGTAACAGCAGCATCCTCACAGCCAGCAGTGCTCAAGACCTTAATATCATGAATATATTCAAGCAATTTAACAGTCATTTAAGGACTAGAAACATGGACCCCATAGTCCATTCTACACTTCACAAAGTCACTGATAGTGATATTAACTCCTAGTTATTTTGATATTATACGTACAACTCAAAATCAGTAACAGCTCTGGATAAGTCACTCTTCCAATATTAATAGCCTACCAAATACCTACTCAAAACCAGGGTTTATATGTTCCATTATTATTACAATTTTAAGATACTAGTATGGATTTGTTTTTATAATCTAATTACTCCGTTATTTTTTTTTACTTCTATCTTCAACTGGAAAGTTAAAAATTTAAAATACAACAATCATATGTTTATATATATATATATATATATATATATATATATA